ATGCTTTGAGTTTGGTAAGTGAAACTTGAAGGCAATAAAATCAGAACACTACTTGGATTTTTTTTTTCTCATAAAGAAATGAATAACAAATTAGGGCCACAGAGCTAGAGTAATCACATTTTGAATTTCTCCTGAGCATGTCTTTAATAACCTGTATGTGTTGGGTAAGAAGAACAAAGAAAGGCAAAGTTAATTACCCAGGAAAAGCTTCACCAAGAAATTTTGGTTACATTAGCCCAGGGTTTCTCAACCTTGGTATGACTGATATTTTGGGCTAGATAATTCTTTGTTGTAGGGGCTGTCCTGTGCATAGGACATAGGATGTTTAATAGCATCCCTGGTCTCTAATCACTAGATACCGGTAGTACTCCCCTTCCCCAAGTCATGACAACCAAAAATGTCTCCAGACATTGTTAAATGTCTCCTGTGGGACAAAATCACCCCCATTCAGTAGCTGAGAACTACTGAATTCACCATATACATTCCTTCTCATTCCCCATCCCCTGGAGCCCTCCAGGGTTTGCTGTGTGTGGTTTGTTTGTTTGTTTGAGACAGAATCTTGCTCTGTCACCCAGGCTGGAGTGCAGTGAAGTGATCTTGGCTTAGTACAACCTCCGCCTCCTGGGTTCAAGTGATTCTTCTGTTTCAGCTTCCTGAGTAGCTGGAATCACAAGTGCCCATCACCACGTGGCGGCTAGTTTTTGTATTTTTAGTACAGATGGGGTGTCACCATGTTGGCCAGGCTGGTCTCAAACTCCTGACCTCAAGTCATCCCCCCAAGCCTCGGCCTCCCAAAGTGCTGGGATTACAGGCGTGAGCCACTGTGCCCAGTCAGTTTACTGTTTTAAACACTTAGAATAAAACTTTTCAGATCAAGGCCATCTATCTACATTTTCCAGGGAATTATTTGGAAAGAAATCGACTAGATCAAAATTACTTGTACAGATAACAAGAAGGGCTCTTTGCATTTCTGTATTGAAAAGTAGCAGGCAAAAAAACAAAGGAAGATGGTCTAATAAAGGTATTTATTTAAGGCATTCAGCCAAACACTTGACTTATATTTAATCCCCACAAACCCCCCAGGGGGCATTAATAGTTTTATTTTATTGTGGAAGAAACTGAGGCTTAAAGAGGTCACGTACTCGCTCAAGAACACACAGTTTGTAACTTACTGGTGGAGCTAGAAATCTGACAGCAACGTTTGTGCATTTGTGCATATTGCCTCAGTGTATGTACTTAGAATGTCATACATCTAAAAAAGCAAGGTGACCAGTTTTTATCCTTCTTAAAATATAATTTTTTATTAGGGAGAGCTTCAAGCATACACAAAATTAGACAAGATATTAACAGTACATTACCATTTGTACTGTTCATGTACTTGCCACCTACTTCAACAGTAATCAACTCATGACCAATCTTGCTTCATTTAGAGCTTCTCAACCTCAGCATAATGACATTTTGGGCTAGAAAATTGTTTGTCACGGATGTCAGGCACACACAAGACAAGGCAAGGTCTGAATGACTTGACTGGTAAAAGTATAACTAATCACTTTAAGATGAAGACAGTTTATTACTTACATAGCAAAGAAAACAGTAGCCAATGGTGCCAGCTTCGTACTGTGCTTATCCCACATACCAAAAAGGACACTACAACAAAAGGGGCCAGATAACCTCGACTCCCATTGCTGAGGAGCCCATTGTAGATTGCAACTGTTTTTCTGTTCTGTAACTTTGTACTAGGAGGGGCAGGGCAGGAAGCCCCATATCCCAACCCAAACAAAGAGACTATTAGAAACTGCTTCATGACAGTTTCTCAGGGGAGATAAGGAGGTGAGTGGCAAATGGCCCTGGAGCAACTCCTCACAGGCCTCTCTGTTCCAGGAGAGCTTGTTCCAGGAGGCTCACAAGGCGTTCTCCAACACTCAGATGAGCTGCACGTCAAGCCTTTGCTTCTATGGACACATTCAAGGTCGTTAGGGTGCCATTATCTTATAGTGGACGATTGTCCTGTGCATTGTAAGATGTTTAGCAACATTTATGGCCTTCACCCACTAGATGTCTAAAGCACCCCAAGCCCCAAGATGTGACAAACAAAACTGTCTCCAGACATTGCTAAATGTACCTTGCGGCAAAATTGTACCCAGTTGAGAACCACTGATCTTGAGCTGTATTCACTCCTCACATCCAAACAACATACTTCATCTGCAAATATTTCAGTATGTATTTCTAAAATAAAGTTTTGAAAACATAAACACAATACCTGATGGGGGTTTTTTTTTTGCTTGTTTTTGTTCTTTTTTGTTTGTTTGTTTGTTTTTGTTCGTTTATTTTTGAGACAGTCTCACTCTGTTGCCCAGGCTGGGGTGCAGTGGTGCAATCACAGCTTACTGCAGCCTCAACCTCTTGGGCTCAAACAATCCTCCCATTTCAGCCTACCAAGTAGCTGGGACTACAGGTGCATGCCACCACACCCAACTAGTTTTGCTTTTTTATTTTTAGTAGAGATGAAGTCTCACAATTTGCCCAGGCTGTTCTCAAACTCCTGGGCTCAAGAGATTCTCTGGTCCTGCCCTCCTTAAGTGCTAGTATTACAGGTGTGAGCGACCTCAGGCAGCTACAGTATCATTATTATACCTAAATAAATTAACAATAATTCCTTCATAGAATCCAGAAATTGTTGAAATTTCTAATTGTTTTATAAACATTGTCATTTTTACAGTGTTTTGAATTAGGATTCAAATAATACAGTGTACATATTGCAATTGATTGATATGTCTTTCAGATCTCATTTAATCCATAGGCTTCTTGCAATTTTTTGGTTGAAGAAACAAGGTTTGTTCTACAGAGTTTTCCACAATCTAGATTTCGCTGATTGCATCCCTGTGGTGTTAACATACTCCTTTATCCCTTCTGTATTTCCTGTAAATTGGCCTCAGATCAAGAGGTGTGATCAAAGCCAGGTTCTATTTACTTGGCAGACTATTTCATAGGTAGCACATGTACTTCTATCAGGAGTACATAATGTTTGGTATTGCCTGTCTTTCTGTCATGTTAGCAGTAGTTGATGCTGAGTGCCTAAACCCAATCTTTCCTTAGGGGTTATAAAGTGGAGATAATTCATTACCATCTTACCTTCTTCATTACTCATTCTAAGACAAGATACTTCTCTTGTCTGGTGACCTAGAGGGACAGTTTGTATAGGAAAGTTTAAATAAAGGCTTATTTCCCAGTTTTCAAAATGCTTTTCTCTAGCATCTTTCAATGCAGACAAATGAGGCTTGGGGGTTTCTTTCGATAGTATTATGAACTCATGCATTGAAAAACATTAGATAGGTTTCAATCAATTGCAATTCTTATCCTTATTGATACTTAAACTTTTCATCTTTGGCTGTCAGGAGTCTCCTAAGTCCTTTTGACAATTTTTATCTTTTTTAAAAAAGGATAATAGAACTTTTATATTCATATGAGTATTGTTATCTTCACACTTTCAAATGATGACCAAAGACTTATTCCAAAAATGTTTTGAGCAATGGTAATACCATATGTGCTAGAGACTGCCATGGTTCACTGCTAATGGTTTTGTTCCTGTTGAGTTCCTGCAATTGAATGGTGGAGTGAGGTTATCCAGACCATTTTGTAGAAATAAAGGATTATTTTTCTTTGAAGATATGCTTATACCATACTTGCTTACTCAAGAGAATATCTTCTCAAAGCAAGGGTGGACTTCTGTGAAAGACCATTGACCGCATATAGCTACTCTCAGACACCCTTAGTGTCCTTTTTTTTTTTTTTTCGAGACAGAGTTTTGCTCCTGTTGACCAGGATGGAGTGCAATGGTGAGATCTCGGCTCACTGAAACCTCAACCTCCTGGGTTCAAGCGATTCTCCTGCCTCAGCCTCCCAAGTAGCTGGAATTACAGGCGCATGCTACCACATCCAGCTAATTTTTGTATTTTTAGTAGAGACAAGGTTTCACCATGTTTGCCAGGCTGGTTTCGAACTCCTGACCTCAGATGATCTGCCCGCCTCAGTCTCCCAAAGTGCTGGGATTACAGGCCTGAGCCACCACACCTGGCCTCCTTAGTGTCATTTGACATGGCCTCTCATCGGGCATTTTAGTAGACTAGGTGTTTAAAATGATTGCTTTTGGAGATATTGAAAGTTTTTACATAGCCAGCTTCCTGGGACACATACACAAATAGGATTTCTTACTCTTGATGCAAACAAAATAGAGATTCTTTTTTTCTTTTTGAGAGCCAAATCCATGTATGAATAAAGTCTCTCATCATCTCTCCTTCATCACAGTGGTTCTGAACTTTTTTTTGTTCTAAACTTTTAAAAGCCCTGATGCTAAACCCAAGGACAATTAGATCAGTATCTTTAGGGAGCAGGAATCAGCCCTCAGTGTTTTTGAAAGCCCCTAAGGTGATTCTAATGCACAACCAAGGTTGAGAACATTCCAGAGTAGAGCAAAGAGGATAAGAGTCTTTGTTAAGAGATTAACTTAGACTTCCTGCTATGGTTTGAATGTGTCCCCCAAAGTTTATGTGTTAGAAACTTAATCCCCAGTGCAACAGTATCTAATAACAGGTGATTAGGTCATGAGGGCTCTGACCTCATGAGTGGATTAAAGTCATTAACACAAGAGAGGTTTGGTTACCACAAGGGTGGATTTGTTATAAAAGCAAGTTCAATTCCCTCTTGCTTTCTTACTCTTGCCTTCTCTTGCCCTTCTGCTTTCTGCCATGGGATGATGGAACACAAAGGCCTTCACCAGATGCTGGCACCATGCTCTTGGACTTCCCAGCTTCCAGAACTATAAGCCAAATACATTTCTGTTCATTATAAATTACCCACTCTGTGGTAGTCTGTTATAGCAGCATAAAACAGACTAAGACACCCCTAAAGTGTTAGACACTCTTTTGTCAAGAATAGGATATTTGTATACTTGTGGGCTTTTGGAAAGATCATTTCTCACCAGCACCACCTGTTATTCACAGATTTACACATCGCCCACAGAGAAGAAAACCTGGTGAGGCCACTTCTGCTTGTATTGCAGAGGAAGAACCCATCTGATGCCACTTTTAGGAAGATTTATTAGAGGATGTGGAGACATTATCTTCAATGTGTGTTTTGTGATGACATCCTGCACTGGCACTTACTGAATGAGTCAAATATGATATTTATAGGGCCTTAATAAAAGCTTTTATCTAGCTAGGTTGTATTATTAAATGTCAAACGAACTAAATGAAAAGCTTTCAACATGAAGGCATCCAAAGAGAGCAGAATGAGAAAAGCATAAAAAATGTTGAGATACCGAGGCAGCATGCATTGAGTGGGGGCTTTGAGGTCCCACAGTCCTAAATGTGAAACTCAGTTCTGACACTGACCAGCTCTGTGACCTTGGGCAAATTATTTAATGTCTCTATGCCCCAGTTGTTATCTGCAAACTGGACATAATGCCTGTTTCTGATACAGGGAAGGATGTCATAAATTACTAAGTATTAAAATTGCAGACAATGTTAGCAATTTTCTGCAATTGAATGACATTTTGTTAGCCTAATTTCCAGAATATCTGGAGATGAGATACCAGGCCTAGCTCATGCTAAGGAGGATGTGATAGGAAGAATAAGGGCCTCCCAAAGATGTCTACATTGTAATTTCCAGAACCTGTGAATATGTTACCTTGTAAGGGAAAAGAGACTATAGATGTGATTAAGTTAAGGGTCTTGAGATGGGAGAGATTATCCTGGATTATCCAAAGGAACTCAATGTAATTACAAGAGTCTTTTGAAGTGAAAGAGGAAGGCAGGAGACTCAGAGAATATGTGACCAGTGAAGCAGAGGCTGGAGTGATGCAATTGCTGTCTTTGAAGATAGAAGAAAGCAGGCCAGGAGCCAAGGAATGCATGCAGCTTCTAGAAGCTAAAAAAAAAAAAAAAAAAAAAAAAAAAAGAAAGGCAAAGAAACAATTTCCCCTAGAGCCTCCAGAAGAAATGCAGTCCTGCAGGTATATTGATTTTAGCCCACTGAGACCCATTTCAGACTTCTGACCCTGGTCCAGAACTTTAAGATAATATATTTGTGTTGTTTTAAGCCACCAAATTTCTGGTACATTGTTACAGCAGCCATAGAAAACACACAGAAGCACAGAAGATTAAACTGAATCTCTCTTTGAGCATTCAAAGACTCTGAGTGCAGATTTTGCAAGAATCTGCACTTTGGAGTGCAGGTTCACTTTGGAGACCATGTCATTCAAAATCTAATAGTATAAAGTCCAAGGATTGTAATCATAGTTTACTTGCGAATGAATGTATCCCTCCTGGCATCAGACGGTCCTGATGACTCACTTGTCAATCAAGCTCATATGTATCATATGCAGAAGGCCCCCCGGCACAATGCTCAGGACCCTGCAGTACTCGCTGTAGTACTGGGAAACTGCCTGGTAGGACAGCAAGGAGGAAATCTGGTTATGGTACACCAATAATCAAGAAAGACCACTCTTTAGGGGTATACAAAGAAGTGTACATATGGTCAACCATGCTGGAGAATAATTTGATAACTGTGTCAAAAAACCATGTATCAAAAACTTTAAAAACATAAATACTCTGATTCAGCAATTCTACTTTAAGAAAATTCATCCTAGAAGGAAAAAAATTGGATTAATACGCACATCATTCACCTGCTTAAAAAAATCCATTCCTGGTTCCTATAATTGCTTATAGAATAACACTTGGGGAGACTGAAGGGAGACAGCAGTACATCCACTTATGTTGGCTAATTAAGACTGGCAGATGTTCATACTGGGCATAGCTTGGTGTAGACTTGAACCTGGCTAGATTATTAACCTTGAAGGTCTCTGAGCCACCTTTGCTACATTTGCTCTTTTTCACTAAAACGACTGAAACAGTGATTGTGACTAAGAGTTTCAATGTTAAGTCAGTGCCTGGCCTTATACATTTATCGTAAACTATCATCCAATTTTGTGGGTTAAATAAATTACAACTTTATATATGTGTATATGTGTGCAACTGAGCCCTTAAGTGTTGAAAATTACCTATGGTCTTACTCATCCACTGACATTCAGATAATATATTTGGCATGCAAAAGTTGTGAATCCAAATTATGCTCAAATACAAGTGGGGAATACTTATCCATCTTTTTTTCTGATGTATTATCTGTTTCAATTGCATGTCTGGACTCAAACCCCACAAAGAAGGGACCAAAATTTACATGGCACTCTTGAGTATGATGGCGGCTGTATTTGGAGTTTTGATTAAACTGCGCTACATGTGTGATTATTACTTGTAAACAGATGATTAGATATTAATTAGACAATAAGTGATTGTAAAGCACTTAGAAAATAAAAGTGTTTATAAATACCACCAAGTAATAGCAACAATCATTCTTTACTGACTACACAGCTGCTAATGTCAATAAGAATGATTTATTCCAGCTAAGGGCAACTTTAATTTATGCAAAAAACTCACCATCATATTTGTTTTGCTACAGCAAAACAAAATATATCATATATACAACTGATTTTATCATCATTTAAATAAATACATCTTGTTTTGATTTTAAAAATCTCTTTTAAGACCTTCTTACACACAGGTGCAATGACTGGTGTCCTTGAGTGCTAAGAATATTGGAGCTGGGTCTGGCGCAGTGGATCACACCTGTAATACCAGAGTTTTGGAAGGCTGAGGTGGGGGGATCACTTGAGGTCAGGAGTTCGAGACCCGTCTCTACTAAAAATACAAAAATTAGCTGGGTGCGGTGCCACACGCCTGTAATCCCAGCTACTTGGGAGGCTGAGGCAGGAGAACTGCTTAAACCGGAAGGCAGAGGTTGCAGTGAGCCGAGATCATGCCACTGCACTCCAGCCTGGGAGACAGAGCAAGACTCTGTCTCAAAAAAAAAAGGAAAAAAAAAAAAAAGAATATTGGAGCTCCTTACTGTTCATCTCTCCAACCAGTTACAAATATATATGCAAGACGTAAAATGACATTTTGTTAGCCGTATTTTCATGTATGCAATAGATTTGTCATGTTGGGTCTGTGCAGTTTCTCCCTAGCTCCTTAAAACTGTGCTTACATTCAAATTTTGGTCACATTGATGAGTGAAGGTCAATTCTTTTTTGGTTATTATAGAAGTTAGAAAAAGAAGAAAATAAATTTTAATAATAAAACAAAACACTTTCTTTCTATCTTCTTGATTACTTCCCACCCTCCACAAAAATAGATTTTGAAGCCCTGACTATTTTCATGTCTCACCATTATTTTTTTTCCCCAATGGGCTTTTTTGTTTTGGAGATGGAGTTTCACTCTTGTTGCCCAGGCTGGAGGGCAATGACGCGATCTTGGCTTACTGTAGCCTCCGCCTCCCGGGTTCAAGCAATTCTCCTGCCTCAGCATCCCGAGTAGCTGGGATTACAGGCACCCGCCACCATGTCCGGCTACTTTTTTTTTTGTATTTTTAGTAGAGACAGGATTTCGCCATGTTGGGCAGGCTTGTCTGGAACTCCTGGCCTCAGGTGATCCACCTGCCTTGGCCTCCCCCTAATGGCCTTTATAGGTCATAAGCCTGTATCAGCTATGCTCTTGACCCACTGGTAAGCCTCGCAATGCAACTGTGTTTTGTTTTGTTTTTGACACAGGGTCTCACTCCGTCACCCAGGCTGGAGTGCAATGGCACAATCTTGGCTCACTGCAACCTCTGTCTCCCAGGTTCAAGTGATTCTCCTGCCTCAGCCTCCTGAGTAGCCACCTGGGATTACAGGTGTCCGCCACCACACCCGGCTAATTTTTGTATTTTTAGTGGAGACAGGATTTCACCATGTTGACGAGGCTAGTTTTGAACTCCTGACCTCAGGTGATCCGCCCACCTCGGCCTCCCAAATTGTTGGGATTACAGGCGTGAGCCACTGCACTTGGCCGCAACTGTGTTTATTTTTCTTGTCGTTAGTAAATTCAAGCATCTAAAATGAGTCCAGATCCACAGTTGCACAAATATGAAATGAACTGAATGAATAAAAGTGAAGAATGCTTCATGTTCATGAATTCAATAGAAAAGGGGTTAAGGGGTTATATTAGATGATGAGAGCTGCATCAGTTAGCTCAGCAGGCTTGTTAATAAAGCAAATCTAACTACTGTGTATCACACAATGAGGCAGTGTAGTTTGGTGGAAAAGAATGTTGAACTTTGATTCAAGAGACCTGGATTCAAGTGATACTTCTACCACTTCTGCTTACTATGTGACCGTGGTCAAATCACTTAACTGCTCTGAATTTGTTCATTCATTTGAAATTTTTCAGTATTAAAGCATGTCAGTCTCAGAGTGCTATTATAAGTCAATGTGTAAAAGCACCAAGGGAGGGGTGAAACACTTTCTACTGAAAAATGTTTTCACTACTATAATTTTCCTGGAATGGGTGGAAAGGATTTAGGTATGGATTTCATTACTTAGTATGGTACAGTCTTTTCCTAGACTATTAGGCCCAGACCTTAAGCCATATGTGGATTAAGGTGGGGAAGTGGCTCAAAACAGAGACATAAAGGTAGCAAAATTCCATAGGAGGTAATACCGCTTTCTGGGAAATCTGAAATTCTTCTGTCATCTCTACCCTGTGTTTTCCATCTCTCTTCCTCCCTTCCTTCTTCATGATACATTTCTTTCTTTCTCTCTCTCTCTCTCTTTTTTTTTTTTTTTTTTTTTTTTGAGACAGGGTCTTACTCTGTTGCCTAGGTTGGAGTGCACTGGCGCAATCTCAGCTCACTGCAACCTCTGCCTACCAGGTTCAAGCAAACCTGCCTCAGCCCCCAGAGCAGCTGGGACTACAGGTACATGCCGCCATGCCTGGTTCATGTTTCTGTATTTTTAGTAGAGACCAGGTTTTGCCATGTTACCCAGTCTAGTCTCGAACTCCTGGATAGCTGAACAGCTGGATAGCTCCAGCTATCCACCTGCCTCGGCCTCCTGAAGTGCTAGGATTACAGGTGTGAGTCACGCCACCCGACCATAAATTTCTTGTTTGGTAAATCTGAGGCAGTGAGAAGAAAATGAATAAAAAAGGAAACGTGGGCTGCACGTGGTGGCTCATGCCTGTAATCTCAGCACTTTGGGAGGCCGAGGCAGGAGAATCACAAGTTCAGGAGTTTGAGACCAGCCTGGCCTATATGGTGAAACCCCCGTCTCTACTAATAATACAAAAAAATTAGCCGGGCGTGGTGGCACATGCCTGTAATCCCAGCTACTCGGGAGGCTGAGGCAGGAGAATTGCTTGAACCCGGGAGGCAGAGGTTTTAGTGAGCCGAAATTGCACCACACTGCACTCCAGCCTGGGCGACAGAGTGAGACTTTGTCTAAAAAAAAAAAAAAAGAAAGAAAGAAAAAGACAGAAAGAAACATGGAAGAAATAGTAGAGTCAGGCCTGGCCATGGTGGCTCATTCCTATAATCCCAGCACTTTGGGAGGCTGAGGCGGGCAGATCATTTGAGGCCAAGAGTTTGAGACCAGCCTGGCCAATATGGTAACATGGTGAAACCCCGTCTCTACTAAAAATACAAAAAAACTGTCCAGGCGTGGTGGCATGTGCCTGCAATCCCAGCTACTCGGGAGGCTGAGGCAGGAGAATCGCTTGAACCCGGCAGATAGAAGTTGCAGTAAGCCAACATGATCACACTCTACACTCCAGCCTGGGTGACAGAGTGAGGCTCTGTATCAAAAGCAAACAAACAAAACAAAACAAAAAACAACTTTATGGTGGGCACCCCTTAATGGTATCTTGAGACCTTTTGAGATGCCCCAGAAGCCAGCTCTGCAAGAAAGAGTCAAGTTCAAGTAGTTTATTTGGGAGACGATCTATCCCAGGAAATACTCACAGGAGCATGGGTAAGTGAAACAAGGAAAGGAAGGCAGTCGATAAAGGGTGCCCTGTGGCAAGTGGAACTTAATCCCACTGGAGGACTCTGGGAGTTAGTATAGAACATGCAATTCAGAGTTATTTCACTTGAGGGCTGAGGGAACTAGGGTATGTGTACTTTGACTTCTGTCAGTCATTGGTTGAAAGCTCTTAGGGATATGGGCTGTTAATTTTCTGGCCCTTTAGTTCTGACTCAGTGGTGGTGTTGGGAGGGCAGGGCTTTCTAAAGGCCAGATAAAGCCCCCAGGCAGAGAGATGCAGGTGCTGGCAGTTGACAGTGGGTCAGGTGTTGACTATGGTAACATCATAGTCATTATGGTAAGGCCTGAGGGGATTTCGAGCAGACAGTCTGCTCGAAAGAGATTATTTAATTAGGTTGGTGCCAAAGTAATTGTGGTTTTGTCATTATTTTCAATGGCAAGAACTGCATTTACTTTTGCACCAACCTGATAGTTCTTTGCATATCTTTGAAAATAATGTTTTTCTTTTTTTTTTTTCTTTTTTTTCTTTTTTTGAGATGGAGTCTCCTCTGTTGTTCAGGCTGGAGTGCAGTGGTGCAATGTCAGCTTACTGACTCCTCCACCTCCTGGGTTCAAGCGATTCTCCTGCCTCAGTCTCCCTAGTAGCTGGGATTACAGGCATGTGCCACCACGCCCGGCTAATTTTCTGTATTTTTAATAGAGATGGGGTTTCATCATGTTGGCCAGGCTGGTCTTGAACTCCTGACCTCAAGTGATCTGCCCGCCTCAGCCTCCCAAAGTGCTGGGATTACAGGCATGAGCCACTGTGCCCGGCCAAAAATAATGTTTTCAACAATTTGATGATGTTTATGTGAGGACTGCTTATAGGAAGGTAGATGTCATTTGTAGGTGTCTTCCAAGCTGAAGTTAAGGTCTCTATGGCTTGGCTTCCTCATCTGCAAAGTGGGGTAACTATACCTATCTGATTGGGTGTTGTCGGGGCTACAGGTAGGCTATGATAAGCATTAGGTTGGTGCAAAAATAATTGCGGTTTTTGTCATTTTATTTATTTATTTATTTTTTTTGAGACGGAGTTTTGCTCTTGTCACCCAGGCTGGAGTGCAACGGTGTGGTCTCTGCTCACTGCAACCTCCGCCTCCTGGGTTCAGGTGATTCTCCCGCCTCAGCCTCCCTGGTAGCTGGGATTACAGGCGCCCACCAACACGCCTGGCTAATTTTTGTATTTTTACTAGAGAAGGGGTTTCGTTATGTTGGCCAAGCTGGTCTTGAACTCCTGACCTCAGGTGATCCGCCTGCCTCGGCCTCCCAAAATATTGAGATTATAGGCATGAGCCACCATGCATGGCCTGTCATTACTTTTAATGGTAAAAACTGCAATTACTTTTGCACCAACCTAATACCTAGCATAGTGCTAAAGACATAAGAGGTACTCAATAAACAGTAGAAATAATCATGATAGTCCTTGTTAGGGACAGCACTGATCTGACAAGTTCTCACAGAAGGCATACCCTTCTTGTTGAGGTCACGGGACTCAGAAGCCCTGTCCCTAAACATTCTCTGGGACTTTTCTGAACAGCC